GCAAACCCTATCATTGTGTAGTATTTTGTCCTTTAAATGTCACATCAATTACTTTAATCATTACATTTCACACAATTAAGTCAATACTGTTATCAATAATATTAATATTTTATTTATTTCATAAATCTATTATTTAATTGTATGTCATTTATAGACACAAATGTTTTGGTTATTCTTATCAATTGGTTTGCTTTCGGTTGCAAATCAATCAATAAATACATTCAATTGAGTGACAAATCTATTAGTTTTAAGGATTAATGCATTTCAATACAAAGGATGACGAGTGAGTGGTCAGTGGTATGTCTGTAGGGGTGATGTGATGGTGACAATGGTGTTGGTGGTGTGAACATCACTCCCTCATCTCGCCGTCCTCCTCCTCGTCGTCCACACCTCTGATGTAGAGGACATTATTACATCTGATGAGGACTTCCCCCAGATTGCCGGTGCAGTTGCCGTCGATGTACTCCTCCGTGTTGGCCAACTGCAGGTTCATATAGGCGTCCACTGAGATCAGGTACCCCTTGTACTCCATCCCCCACTTCAGCTTCACTAACACGGCTTTCCCCGTCAGGCCGTTCAGGAAGGGCTTGGGATTCAAAGGCATAGTTCCGGCCATCGCTGCGGTTCTTGTGTCCACGCGTTGTCTGATTGCTATTCAATTGGATTCAAAATTTGCCGACAATTCAGCGTTTCGTTCAATACTGTACTGACGGTCAACGCGATTGTGGCGACACTTGTGCTCACAATACACGACACTATGTCTTCACCATTGAGTTATCACTTCCAACACATTGTGTCACCACTTGTCTTACAATCTTCTCATTATTTTGTCAAATCTTTCATATAAAATACGTCAAAATATAATACATTTATTAAGCCGTATCTTAATTACAATGATTGTAATCACATAATTAGTGATTAGTTTATATTATACTTAATTAATCAAATTATTGCACAACTATTCAAATCATTTCAAACACATTTAATACGAAAACAAGTGATTTATTTGAATTAAACCAATGCTTACGTTATTAATGATTACCTTTTAACGAAGACCTGGATGTGTTGACAGTCCCCCGGATTTTGAGGCATTGAACAGTGTATGGAAGGGAAGGGCGGGTGAGCCCAACCCTGGGATGCGGGACAACGTGTCGTGCATTGAGTGGTGAAGTGTTGACTGAATGTGAATGTGATATAAGTACACTTACTTACGTAAACACTCTGTAAACATACAAAAACCTACGTTACCATCTCAGCCTGGAGTGCAAAGTAAAGTTAGGAAAGTTAGTTGAGAATAAAATAAAATAAATAGTAATAAAGATATCAATTATTATATTTAGTCACTTATTAGCCTATTGTCCACTGATTTCGTCGATTTGACCACTAATTGATTGTATCGTCAGATGATTGCCGCCGAAGAAGACCTCAATATGACTGACAATGACTTGGGTTTGAAATTCAATGCTTTCTGTGATTTGTGTGTCATTTGAGTGATGTTTGCATTGTTTGCGCCAAACTAGACGTGAATATAGTTCAGGAGAAGTGGAAGGGAGAGGACGAGGAGGAAGAGGTGAAAGACAACTGGGATGACGAGGACGAGCCCGAAGAGACGGCGGAGGAGAAGCCTCGCGCGCCCGTCGTCTCCAAGAAGTCTAAACTGAACGCAAAGATCGCAGAGAAGGAGCGCTTGGAAAGGGAGAGCAAACGGAAGCCCCGGACGGCTGAAGAGGAGTTGGCCGACAAGTTAGAGCGCCAACGACTCCAAGAAGAGGCCGACCTCTTGTTGGCGAAGGAGGCCTTCGGAGAGGAGTCCAATGTCTCGAAGAGTGGTTCAGGTCTTGACATCAGTCTTCATACGAAAGAAGATTTCGATTCATTCAGAAAGAGTTTAGTCGACAAACTCGTGGTTTACGACAAATCGCCGCATTTCGTGAACTTCTTAGAGAGTCTGTTCCGTGAAGTGTGTGTTTCCGTGGAATCCGATGACATCAAGAGACTGTCGAGTAGTTTGACTGCACTTTTCAATGAGAAAGTGAAGGCACAGAAGGTATGATTGATTCACTCATTAGTGCTTTGATTCTTGTATTAAACGATTGTGTGGTTTGTCTGAAGGCGGGAACAAAGCCTAAGCGGAAAGGAAAGGGAGTTTCGGTAAAAGTGGAGCGAAATCATGACCTCGACTTCGACTCGAGAGGTAATGATTTAGAAGATTTCGATGACTTCATGTGAAACCAGCTTTTGTTAAGTCTTATAAATACTGCACATAATTTTAAATAATTATAATTTCGTTATTAATGAAAACAATTCTTACAATTAATAATAAAATGTTTTAAACAAAAAGCAAATCTATTTGTGTTCATAAGAGTCCGTTTCGACGCAAGTCTTGTAAATAAGCGCCACTTTCTTCGTTAATCATTTGATGGTTGACTTCTGTAAGACTCAGTTTAGACGCCATCCGGAACCGCATTTCGAAGTCAGAGATGTATTGAATAAGTTTTTGAATGCATTTCTTCGTTTGAATCACTCTCTCATTGGATACGTTTTGGTTGGAAATGAATTGAATGTATTTGTGGACTAATTCTTCGATAAAAGAAGTGCTGATATCTCTTCGTGTGATATAATCGGACCAATAGTTCCAATCATTGTTTAGAATCACGTGATTGAAGACCGCGTTAACCCAACTCGTGTTGTATTGATAGGCGTCTGCAATGATTAGCGCCTACACCACAATCAGAAGCAATGTTAGACTTAATGTTTAGGCAAAGAATGTTTCAATGAAATGATAGGAAACCTCAAAGAAGTTGATGTTCTTGTTCTCAATAAACGCTTCTATTTGAGTGCTATTCATGTTAATAAGAAGTGTATTTTGTGGTAAATAATGGATCTGAAGGGCAATAAGTTGGGCTAATTTGCCACAAGAGTCTGCCTGTGAATGGCTTGGCCGGAAGCTCATCGAGAGCACGCGCAGTTACTTGAGTATGTATTACCAGAGCTCAACCAGGGATACCGAGTAGTCTAAACACCAGTTGAACATAAAGTTTAGTAATTTGACAACAAAACGTCTCTTTTCGTGATTTTCAGCGATTTCTCTGTAAAGACAGAAGCGAAGGGCCACTAACGGGAAGACCTCTTTGTCACCCTTCAAGTAGTCGAGTAATGCTATTCTCAATTGAGGCGCCTATTAAACGGGCAATTATTTAGGATTAATTTACAAATTTGTATTCACAATGACTTTGAATACCTTTTCTATACGTTTGCTGAGAAGAAGTTCAAATTCGTTGTTCTCTTTAAACAAATCAAAACAATAAGTCATTTCAGAATATCTCCCGATTCCTGTCATTAATCGCAAAATTGAATTGAAATCTTTCAATTGGAGTAAATTCTGAGTAATAAAAAGTCGCGTTTTTCTCAAGACAAGTGCAATCCCTTTCACATCGCATTCGTGTGCAAAGCATTCGTGAGCTTTGATATAAAGTTTGGTTAAAATAAAATTATTATTGGAATCGTTGAGAAGTTTATCGGATTCAGCCA